CAGTTTACGTTTAGCAATTCATCTTGGAATATGGTGAAATAAAAATGTAGAACAAGCTCTACCATCTCAGTTGTCAAACTGCAGTTTCAAGATGCAAAATGATCACTGAGCTTTAAGTGAATTTTCCTGAGAGGTAAAGCACTGACAGGTTAACTAGTTGTATCTACGAGGTATTTCAGTTTTCCATTTGAAACAATCAGGCTTCAGTCAAATGGCATGATGTTGAGATGAAGAAACTGGTAGCATAACTTGGAATGCCACACTCTAAATTTCTAAGCATTATCTATATGTCATAACACAAGCAGAAACATGTTCTTTACTGTTTGAGAGACAAAAAAAACCAGTTGTATTCAAAACCTTTTCAAGTGTGAATAAAATTTTTAAGATTTTCTTAGGCTTTAAAACCAAAATGCAACTATCTATTTAAGGACAAATATGAAAAAAATTTTACATCTCAGTATTTACTAACATAGAAAAACAGTTGTTATGAGAAGGGCTAATGGTACATCAAGGTCACAGAGTTCATTAAACTAGCATGGTCTATTACAAACTTTCATCCATAAACACATAATGGTTCAAAGTAAAGTACATTATAAAAAGTGTTATATTCTAAAAAGAATTGCATCCCAATAAATTGTCATCACAATTTTGAATTCGACTTTATTCTATTTTATAGACAGATAAAAACATACACTACAACTCTAATTTCTGACAAGTATGACAAGCTGATAAATTACTGAATATAGAGGTTAGCTTCCCTACATATGAACCCCCTGACAATAATAAGAATAAAGAACTGTCGCTAAAAATGTGTTAGAAGAATGCATTTGCTTTAACTTATTGATATTTCCCATTTTGTTGCTTTCATGTCTTTTAAATTAAAAGACATCACATGCATTTCACTCTACTACCACATAACTCTGACAATAAATTAAGAATTTATAGATAACAGACATATGGCTTTGCAGATTGAAAATTTACAGAAATTGACAAGCTAGTAAAACCCAAGATGTTAATTAAGAAGTACAGAAGTCTTAAATGAAGAGATATGGATGTTCGTGCTACCATTTAAATTAGCAGATTCATTAAAAACAAACAACCAAACAAACCCCCCAAAAACCCACCACACCTAAATGCCTAAAAAAAGAAACCAGTGAAACTTTGTATTTTTTCTCTTTCTTTTTAACTTCTTGCTTCTAATGCTTTCATTTAAAATGTTGCTATCCAAGCTCCGGTTATAAAAAGTACAGGGAATGCAAAGATAGAAAACTCCAGCTTTCGTTATTCACTAACTTCTTATGAAGTCTACCTGCCCCTCTTGCCCCACTACCCTAATAGCTTGTTATTTGGCAAGTGTATTTTTAAAAGACTTTTCAGATGTTCTCTGGTTTTCCTTCACTGCTTTTCTTATCTTCATCTCCTCCATGCACAAATTTTCTCTTCATCCTCCAATCCTTCATGCACAAATTTTCTTTTGCTCACATAGAATCCATATTTCAAAAGAACAATTTGATATTTGACACTGAAAACTAAATGTCTCAGTAAATATCTGGGATATAATGCCTTTGCTTATGGAAAGGGATACATAACTATTCAGTTAATGAATCTGACTTCCATTAGAAGCTTTCTCCAGGCTCAGCAGTGACTTTGCATTTTGAAAAAAGTTCATCACATTTTAATTAAGTCTGGACATACAAGTGTCAACTATGCAAATAAAAATTTGTATTCATGACTTCCACAGATTTCATGGTTGAGGGGAATTGAACATTTATCTAATGTGACAAAAAACAGGTGCTGGAAATGACATATCCTCTGAAGTTAACAGGATTCTTAAATTCAGGGGTTTGCTCTTTAGCAGGCTATTTCTTCTTCAATATAAAAAAATTTCCAAGCTCAAATGTCTTGTCCTCACAACATGTTATATGAAAGCCCAAAGCAAACTGAATATATATACATAAATTATTTTTTAATGAACAACACTGTAATTTAGAACTTACAAAATATCAAGTCTGACACTAGGTAAGGAAATTGCTTTTGAAAAATGAAGATTAAAATATTTATGGAGATTCAATGAAGCAAACCATTTTCATGAAAATATATTGATTTTCATTAGAATGCTATTGTGAAGACAACTGTGAATGACTTCCTAATTAAAACTAATTGGTGGAGGAAAGCTGTAAGACATTTGCCAGTTACAAGGCAGTCAGAGAGTTATTCTGAGGTTCCAGCACTTTAAATGAATACCTCAACTAACGGCTACAGAGAATTAGTCTTTTCTTTACTTTTTTCAGGAATCAATTAATATTTAATTTCACCTATGTAATTAACAAAGAAGCAAAATTATTCCAAGATGACATTTAACTTGAGTCACATCTCAAAATTATTACAGATTCTATAGCGTATGACATGACTATAAATCTATTTCTGCAAGATTATTTGAAAAACTTTGTCTTGCTCCCCATTCCCACAACCAGTGCAGAATTATTGTTTTTTGAGGGTTTTTTATCTCAAAAAACTTTATGGTACAGCACTTTTATTTCTGGTCAGGCCTAGCTGTATTTCTTTATAGCATTATGTTTAGTAGAATAAAAATTATTATTTTTGGTTTTGACAATTCTTGGCTATAATATTTAAGAGACATATGATGGGCTCAAAAATAATTTCTTGTGCCTAATACAGAGAAGATATTTTTGTAGGTTCAAAAGACAAGACAAAAGGACATAATTTCAGTCATCACCTTCATTTTTTTCTTTACCTCAGGGACAAGTATATCCACTTCTATTAAAAAAAATGTTTGTTGTGACAATAAGCATTATAGAATTGGCTATTCAGACAGTCAACTATAATTCCCTATTCACTGAACTGATATATTACTAAAAGACTGTGGCGCTTTAGTGCTAAATATCTAGAAACTTAATATTACTAAATACTGAAAAAACTGTAGAAAGAAATCATATTATTTCGCTCTTCAAAAGTCAGCAGAGCTCTCACAGATTATGTCAAAGCTTCTCCCTCCCCTGCAGGTTTTTTCCCTGTAAGTGTTTTTCATGTATCAGAGAGACTAATTTTCTACTATTTATATGAGAAATAATTTAAGTAAATATTCAAGACAATTGGCTAAGGAAAATTCACTTCCCCTGTTTTACATTTCACATTTTCATGGAGAAAAATTATTTTTCTTTACAAAGAAGAAATACCCAAACTTTGAAGGTTGCATTCACTAATCTGTTATTCTGCCTTCATGTCAGAAACTTCTTAAGCTGTTTATTTTCTATAGCTTCCAAAGAATGGTAAATTTTTACAAGAAAACTACAACACAATATGCCAGAGTTGAGGGAATACCATTGTTTCCTATTCACAACAAACAAGCTTTTGCAATGATACCCTGGAAGAAGATTCACAGAGACAAAATTTGAGGTACATCACTTGCGACTCTTAAAGAAAGCCCCCTGAAAAGCTTTAGAGAAAGGGCCTTCAAGTTCTCGTGAAAGCATAAAAACTTTTTTAAAACAAAGGTTTCCCCATCATTTTTTAAAGAGTGCTTCCCCTCAAATCCTCTGAATAACACAGGAGTCTGTCAAGAAACTCCCCCTTGCCCTACTTGAGGTATGCTCTAATCACAGTCCATACTATTTCCCTGGAAAAAACAATAATAGATTATATAATACAAAACCAATAATAGATTATATAATATATCTAGTATCTTAGAAATGGGAACAGATCTTTGTGATCCATCAGAGATGTATCAGTCACAAGTCTTCAAATGTACTATAACGAGTAATTTCATTCATCCCAAAAATCTTTCAATAAATTGTTTTAAAAAGTAATGAGAATTTTTTAAACTCAAGGTTTTTCTCTAGGAGGTTTAAAAAAAATACTCATTGTTCATTATATTGCTTTGCACTCAAAAATCAAATACATAAATGTAAAAAATATCTTGATAAAAAGGTTGTATTTTTTCACCCCATACTTGTTTACTTCTAAGGAAGATCAGATGAATTCTGCTCCAACAGGTTATTTATCTCCACTGACAGAAGGTTAAACTGACTAGATTGGACCTGGAAAACTACATTTTAGATGTCTAAATACAGAGAAAATTTAAACCAGCCACAGAACTAGCTCCATAAGCTCCATAAGCTCCATAAACTGTAGTCATAAAAAACCCACAGTTAAACCTGTGAATTACAATATGGTTTTAAATACAGAAAACGATAAACAAAATAAGGACGTAACTGATGGACAAGCAAAGCAGATTCATTGAAACCTGCTATATTACTTCAGTAATAACTTCAGTATAGACCTTAAGGGACCGTTACTTCTCAGAAATGATACGTAATCTACTCTTCATGTAAGCTTAATGTCATGAGCTGGACGTTTTTAATTTTGTTAAACTATGCAGAATCAAATGGCTACTGATATGATATGGTTTCTGAGTAAGTATCATATTTTTGCTTCATTGATTGTGATTAATTTTTAGTATTAATGCCATACCTGTTCTTTCAGATGTAGCTGGAAAAAATTTAAAATATTTTCACATAAAATTCTTTATGACTTCAACTCTCTGCCTTAATCCACTTCACAGCTGAATAAAGAAGGGATAATTCTTGACCAAAAAAAAAAAAGCCCCAAAACTTCCCTTGACATTGTTCCCGTGCAGAACAATGACAATTACAAAGCTTCACTAAAGCTAAATAAAAAGGAACAGTGATTAAAAAGTATTCTAAGGACATACAGATACTTTTTACTATTATCACCTATATGTGAACATGCATCTAATTAAGGCATATACTGTTCTGACTCAGCAGTGCAAGCCAATTCTCATAACTTCACTGAAGTTGAGAGGAATCACCACTCCAGTGGTTTCAAAAGGGCCACTCACAAAATAAAGTTCCATACAAGTACAGAACAATTTCAAGCAGAAGAGTAACAAGATATTTTTACTTACAGAAGATATAGTGGATTCACAAGATCATAATTTAGATTTTCTAAAACTGCCTTACCATGGTGTAGTTGTGAGCCACCTTCATAAGCTCTGTGCATCCTTGTGCATCAGCAAATGCTCGTATTCCCAAACAGTTGGATGGGTGCAAAAGCTTCATTAGAAAATGGCAGCAAACCTCTACTACTTGTGGGAGCTGGAGGAGGCAGGCAGCTGCTAGAAGATTTTCAATGGTGTCTTCTTTCAATTCCAGGCAACCTAAAAAAAAAGAATTGATAACACATGCAAACTTCTTTATTTGGTATTTACAAAACATGCAGTATTAAAAGATATTTTGTAAATAAACCTAGCTCTAGATGAATAACTCTACAGAAAAAGTGAAGACAGGGAGTATTAGTCTCTATGACTCAACTCCTCAGTGAACTGAACATTACAGTATTAGAAACATTTGTTTTTAAACTACTACTAGTTCAACTGTATAAGAGGGATACAAATAAAGACTGTAAAGTCTGGAAAGGAAGCAAAGGCTTAGGAATACTGGTTTCATTTCTATAATAAGACTAAAATCTGAGTCAGTATCTGGATATCAACCAGGCTGTGATTTATTTTTTTTTTATTGAAATTGGTGGTAAAATATGCATTATCTTCAGTGGTACAGAGCAAAACTCACAGCCATTTATCTCCCTGTAAAGAATGAAATAACTAGCTAATGTAGTATAACTAAAACCATAAAAATATCTTCAAAATAGAGCTTAAAACTTTCAGACTTCATGTTGCTTATTTGTAATGTGACTTTGGGATTACTTTTATCTGAGTAATATATGGCAGGCCTCTCATAGCATATACTTATTCTAAAAGACTTTGTATTAGCTAAAAGAACATGGATGCATAATATTTATATTCCATTAATTAATACTTATATTGCACTTAATTTTGTAATTTCACAAGTCATTATCTTGCAGACTTATACACTTTTTAATAAATAAAAGTAAAATAGAACAAAATAAAAAATAATTTATTTTAGTGAGGAATAAGTGTCATTCTTGCCATCATGTTCCCCCCCAACCTGTCATTTTTAGGTTGTTTTTTTTTTTTACATTAGTATGTCTTACAAGTCTCTTACATCAATAACTTAAGGAACTATAAATTAGAGATCACAATTAGGCATGTCTTGGAGAACCAGAAAAAAGAATAAGAAATTAAAATGTTCAAAAAAAATATCAATTGTAAGAAACTAACAGTTCTGATTTTATTTTGCTGTGCTTGGAAAAATAATTTCAAACTCTAAGAGGATTAAGTGTATATTGATCTTTCTGTTCAAAGTAATAGAGTTCAACTGTTAGATAAACTCACTCCTTTCCCCCCACAAATTTTGTATTTGTTGTCACATAAAAAGAAATCTACAAATCTTAATAGTTCTATCACATGGCACTGAGCAGTTCTAAAATCCTCAACTTCACAACAGAATGCCATTGAAAAGAAAAGCTGCTTTGTATTGCAATACCAAACCCAAAATACAATAATCATAATACTGAAGATCTGACCTTTTCTCCTTCTTTCACTGTATCTGGAGCTTTTAATATACAATGGAAACTGGGAAGTTTACTATATTTAGTTATAATACATCCTTTTGCAAAGGTTAGAGCATCAGATCAGTATACAGCATAATTCAGTGGTTTTCCTCTGCTTATTTTTGTGCATCTATTAATGTCACGAGTTTCCCTTTATGTTATCTGACTTTTTCTCATGATTTCAGTCTACCACACATTTATGCAATGTGGTCAGAAGGCACACTCAGCAGTTGATTCTTGGCTGATTCATATATTTATCAATGACACTCCCACATTTGCTGCATGCTTGCAGGTAACCACTGGCTCAACACACTACTCATTATCTAGAATATAGTTCCACTGTGTCATGTGGAATCTTTCAAAAGATAGTTGTTTTCAGGTTAAAACTGATCAACCCAGTACCAGAAGGAAGAAAAATAAAAATGTGCAAAACAGCTGTGAAAAGCAGATTGACTGAGAAATGTGCTGATGGAAACAAAATTTAAAACCATGGAGTTTTAAATCTCCTTTTTTTATATGCTATGTATTTTTGAACAACAAGCTCAAAGAAGTCTCTGGCCCTACAAAGCTGATCCAGCTAATGTTTGCAGAATGATGTAAGGATTGAAAGAATCACCAGCCTTTAATGAAGAAAGGTAATAATGTCACAGCTTGGCATTTTATCACTAAATGTAGCCTGAGGAGAAGAACCCAAAGGAAATAGTCGGAGCCACATCAATCTGTTTATTTTCAAACTGAAGATATTTTCTGTTATCTGTAAAGAAAACTTAGGTACTAGTAAGCTTAAAATAAGTTTAAGACTATAAAAATTATTCTCTGTTTCATAAATTATGTATTTCTTTATGGAACCAACATGACCATTTTGAAGGAGATCCTTCACATTTTTATGGATGAGAGTGAAGTTTCTGCCTTACATATTGATCAAGGGAGGAAACATACAGTTGCTTCTGGGATACCTGGGTATATGAATATATTATAGGTTGACTTATTTTTAACTAAATTCAGAAACACCAATTTACTACTTAATATATCTGAGATAAGAGCTGGAAAATTACACTCAGCTTGAGCTAAAGAGGAGTTTACTCTGCTTCTTTCTTTCAGTACTGTCTTATCCTGCCTTTTTTGTTTTCTGCACAAACACGCTAAGAAGTAAGATAGGGCTCTCCAGGATCCCGTTTTTAGAAAGCATTAGTTTCAGTAGTAGGTAAGTATCTAATCCATCTAAATGCTTTCCAAGTCTTACTTATCTTAATTTTTAAATATCAAGACATCTTCACGATTTTGGTCACAAGGGCTGTATTCACTTTTTTCAGAAGGGTACTGTGATCTTTTTATACAAAGTTCTCTGGGATATCAAGTGTTTAGCATGGTCAAAGTTTGAAAAAAAAAGCTGCCAAGAGGCTCATTATATAATATTTCAATTCTTCAGACAGTTTCATATTGACAATTAGAAGATCCAAGCACCTATTAAAAAATGCTTAATAAGATATTCAAGGGGGCATTAATATTACTGCTTCTTCAGTTCACCTTCCCTTCATGTTTTTATGCAATAAGGAGTTTGCACAAGCACCTCAGGTGATGAAGTGTCTGGAAATGGTTTACATACTTTAAACAGTCTTTGGGTCCAATTCTGATGATCATTCTCTCTGCTACTGTCAAGTCCTGGTAATGACATAATGTGTAGTAATCACCTCTTACATCCATCCATGAATAGCAGCCAATGAAGAATACAATAAAAACTATTTTCCCTGTAGCAGAAGATTTTTCAGTCTCCAGCTGATTTCTGAATTGAATATTAAGGTTTGGATTTTGGCCTATGCCTTAAAAGATAAATGCCATACTTTTCATAAAAGTGAAGTTGTTTTCAGAAAAGAAAACATGACAGTATATTCACTTTGCAGAGGTATCTCCTGATAAAACTCTCATTTGTTTCCCATTAATTATTTGCTGCAAACCATGGTCATCAGATGCAAGGGAGACAGACAGCCACTCTATGCTTGATTGTGTTTATTTCCTTATAGTTTGACATTTAGCATCCATGAAAATTCAGAAAGGTGGCTCTTTTTTTTCCGGTAGATATTCAAATAAAAAAATAAACACTACCCCAAAAGGGAGTAGTCTCCTACACAAACAGATAGTGCAATTTAAATTGGGAAAAAAAAACTCAGGATCTGCCCACTCCTTATTATCAGACTATTCATCTTACATACTAGCAACCTAAACCTAAACCAAATACAAATTAACCCCAAAAGTATGTATAAACCAAAGATGTGTTTATTTGAGGGTGCTGATGAAATGCTTGATTTTTTTGCAGGCACTTTGGTATCAGACACCATAAATAAAAGACAAGTTAAACTATATGACTTAACTAGGAAAATTATTTTTTCCCAGGGGAAAAAAAAATTCCTAACAGAAAATTTTTCCTGTCCTGAACAACTTCAATTCCCCTCAATTTCAATCTAAATTGAGTCATCTAATTAGAAGAGATTGATTTTCTGTTCCTACATGTCTTCTTTAATCCCTGTGGATGAAATTCAACTATTGAACAGGACAACTTATTTTAACTCTCTTCACACAGAAGATTTAAAATTATTTTTAAAGTAATTTTCATTTATATTTCTATGAAATAATCTCTCAAAAAACATTTATAGTCAGGAAAGCATTCACTTGACATATGTTCACGGATATATGACTTTCGACTATTATCGGATACTTGATTACATTGCCAGTTATGGTGCTAGTTTTTGAACTCTTCACTACCAAACATGACTTCAAAATTATGGTAATTTGTAATTTCAAATAACAATTTTTATATGAAATTTATATTTAAGTATTCTTATATGTAAAAAAAAATCATAAATTATTCTGCAGCCATAAAAATATGTATTTTGCCAAAATGAAAAGGCCTCCATCACAGTAATATAAGAATTCTTATAAATTAAATAACTTCACACTTTTAAAAAACTGTACAATCATTTACAACCTAATATTGCTTCATCTTTGTTTGAATAAGCTGACTAAACTGGCATAATCATGTGGTCACTTGTGAGTACTGCTGAAGTCCACTGTATTTCAATGGCGTGGAAAATCACAACATTGCAGAGTGATAAGGCAATCCTATTAACAATTTAAATTCCCCCTGAGCAGGAACTTTCTTGCAAATTTCTGTCCGAAGATCAGAAAAGTATATTAGCCAAAACATGCCATGTGTGCTACCTTTTCATCTCCTGGTTTGAACAAAAAAAACAACACACCTCTGTCATATAACTGAAACGTCATGTTTTTAAAGAAAATTTGTCTGCTGACTTATAAATATCAGCTTTTTAGAAAGAGATATTAAGATGCTATTTTCTCCTTATGAAGCAGCTGCCATTCATGTTAGCTCACCTTAGATATTTGAACTTAGTCACTTGTAAGATACACATACAAATAACAGGAGTAAAAGCAATAAATAATTTTAGTTGTGTCGTAAGTCCTTTTTATAAATTGTGAAGAAAGATGTTAGTGCTCTAAAACACACCTGAAGATATGTTTTTTTTCCATTGGCTATAGAAAAATTGTTAAAATATTAATTTAATTGTTGGTATTATTTGCTAAAGGTTACTAGTTTGTACTTCTATAGATGATCAATATATTAATATGGGGGGGAAAGAAAAAAAATGGGGGGAAAAAAAAGAAAAAAAAAAG